CGTCTTGCTGAGTCAGTCTGAGATCCCATTCTCTATGAACGGAGTGTTAACTCGGTTAAATGGAGAGAGCGCATTTGCACTGATGGGTCTTCTTGGAGCAAGCATCGTCCCTCACAATTTTTATATCCATTCTTATTTTGCTGGGGTACCTTCTTCTCTTTCTATGTATCTCTCTTTTCTATTAAGATGCAATATTATTAAGCAGTGAACGCTCTATCGCAGGAAAGTACATCTTCGTCAGATGTGGACAAGAGCAGCTTGTGTCAAGACCATTTGTTCGCCATCTTTGGTGTCTTCAGCGGACTTTCACTTGTAAATTATGTATTGATGAATGCAGCAGCTAATGTGTTCCACAGTACTGGCCTTGTGGTACTGACTTTTCACGATGCCATGTCACTAATGGAGCAGGTTTGTTCTGACGGTTTTATGTTTCGTATTAGTCTAATTCTTTTTAGGGAGACAGTTTCAGAAATTTTTTGTGATTATTAATAATTTTGTTCTTGATTGTTGAGCGCAGGTATTTATGAGTCCGATCATTCCAGTGGTCTTTTTGATGCTCTTGTTCTTCTCTAGTCAAATTACAGCACTAGCTTGGGCTTTCGGTGGAGAGGTTGTCCTGCATGACTTCCTGAAGATAGAAATACCCGGTTGGCTTCATCGTGCTACAATCAGAATTCTTGCAGTTGCTCCTGCCCTTTATTGTGTATGGACATCTGGTGCAGAGGGAATATACCAGTTACTTATATTCACCCAGGTCCTGGTGGCGATGATGCTTCCTTGCTCTGTGATACCACTTTTCCGCATTGCTTCGTCGAGACAAATCATGGGTGTCCATAAAATCCCTCAGGTTGGCGAGTTCCTCGCGCTTACAACATTTTTGGGATTTCTGGGTTTGAATGTTGTTTTTGTTGTTGAGATGGTATTTGGGAGCAGTGACTGGGCTGGTGGTTTGAGATGGAATACCGTGATGGGCACCTCGATTCAGTACACCACTCTACTTGTATCGTCATGTGCATCCTTATGCCTGATGCTTTGGCTTGCAGCTACGCCGCTGAAATCTGCGAGTAACAGAGCAGAAGCTCAAATATGGAATATGGATGCTCAAAATGCTATATCTTATCCAGCTAATCAAGAAGAGGAAATTGAAAGAAGCGAAACAAGGCGGAATGAAGACGAATCGATAGTGCGACTGGAAAGCAGGGTAAAGGATCAGTTTGATACTACGTCTGCTACTAGCTCAGTCTATGATTTGCCAGAGAACATTCTAATGACGGATCAAGAAATCCATTCGAGCCCCCTAGAGGAAAGCGAGTTGGATGTAAAATTCTCTACCTCTCAAGTTAGTAGTCTTAAGGAAGACTCTGATGTAAAGGAACAGTCTGTATTGCAGTCAACGGTGGTTAATGAGGTCAGTGATAAGGATCTGATTGTTGAAACAAAGATGGCAAAAATTGAACCGATGAGTCCTGTGGAGAAGATTGTTAGCATGGAGAATAACAGCAAGTTCATTGAAAAGGATGTTGAAGGGGTTTCATGGGAAACAGAAGAAGCTACCAAAGCTGCTACTTCAAGCAACTTTAGTGTCGGATCTGATGGTCCTCCTTCATTCCGCAGCTTAAGTGGGGAAGGGGGAAGTGGGACTGGAAGCCTTTCACGGTTGCAAGGTTTGGGGCGTGCTGCCCGGCGTCACTTATCTGCGATCCTTGATGAATTTTGGGGACATTTATATGATTTTCATGGGCAATTGGTTGCTGAAGCCAGGGCAAAGAAAATAGATCAGTTGTTTGGCGCTGATCAAAAACCAGCCTCTTCTATGAAAGCAGATTCTTTTGGAAAAGACATGAGTAGTGGATATTGCATGTCACCAACTGCAAAGGGAATGGATTCACAGATGACTTCAAGTTTATATGATTCACTGAAGCAGCAGAGGACACCCGGAAGTATCGATTCTTTGTATGGACTACAAAGAGGTTCGTCACCGTCACCATTGGTCAACCGTATGCAGATGTTGGGGGCTTATAGTAACACCACTAATAATAATAATGCTTATGAATTGAGTGAGAGAAGATACTCTAGCCTGCGTGCTCCATCATCTTCAGAGGGTTGGGAACACCAACAACCAGCTACAGTTCACGGATACCAGATTAAGTCATATGTGGACAATTTGGCAAAAGAAAGGCTTGAAGCCTTACAATCCCGTGGAGAGATCCCGACATCGAGATCTATGGCGCTTGGTACATTGAGCTATACACAGCAACTTGCTTTAGCCTTGAAACAGAAGTCCCAGAATGGTCTAACCCCTGGACCAGCTCCTGGGTTTGAGAATTTTGCTGGGTCTAGAAGCATATCGCGACAATCTGAAAGATCTTATTACGGTGTTCCATCTTCTGGAAATACTGATACTGTTGGCGCAGCAGTAGCCAATGAGAAAAAGTATAGTAGCATGCCAGATATCTCAGGATTGTCTATGTCCGCAAGGAACATGCATTTGCCGAACAACAAGAGTGGATACTGGGATCCGTCAAGTGGAGGAGGAGGGTATGGTGCGTCTTATGGTCGGTTAAGCAATGAATCATCGTTATATTCTAATTTGGGGTCACGGGTTGGAGTACCCTCGACTTATGATGACATTTCTCAATCCAGAGGAGGCTACAGAGATGCCTACAGTTTGCCACAGAGTGCAACAACAGGGACTGGATCGCTTTGGTCCAGACAGCCCTTTGAGCAGTTTGGTGTAGCGGAGAGGAATGGTGCTGTTGGTGAGGAGCTCAGGAATAGATCTAATCCGATAAATATAGACAACAGCGCTTCTTCTAATGTGGATGCAGAGGCTAAGCTTCTTCAGTCGTTCAGGCACTGTATTCTAAAGCTTATTAAACTGGAAGGATCCGAGTGGTTGTTTGGACAAAGCGATGGAGTCGATGAAGAACTGATTGACCGGGTAGCTGCACGAGAGAAGTTTATCTATGAAGCTGAAGCTCGAGAAATAAACCAGGTAGGTCACATGGGGGAGCCACTAATTTCATCGGTTCCTAATTGTGGAGATGGTTGCGTTTGGAGAGCTGATCTGATTGTGAGCTTTGGAGTTTGGTGCATCCACCGTGTCCTTGACTTGTCTCTCATGGAGAGTCGGCCTGAGCTCTGGGGAAAGTACACCTACGTTCTCAATCGCCTTCAGGTAAAAGAACCCGCAGTACTCTTCATTGAAAACCGCAGTTTTGCAGTTTGAAAATATTGACACGTATGGATTTTTAAACAGGGAGTGATTGATCCGGCGTTCTCAAAGCTGCGGACACCGATGACACCGTGCTTTTGCCTTCAGATTCCAGCGAGCCACCAGAGAGCGAGTCCGCCTTCAGCTAACGGAATGTTACCTCCGGCTGCAAAACCGGCTAAAGGCAAATGCACAACCGCAGTCACACTTCTTGATCTAATCAAAGACGTTGAAATGGCAATCTCTTGTAGGAAAGGCCGAACCGGTACAGCTGCAGGAGACGTGGCATTCCCAAAGGGGAAAGAGAATTTGGCTTCGGTTTTGAAGCGGTATAAACGTCGGTTATCGAATAAACCGGTAGGTCTGAATCAGGATGGACCTGGTTCAAGAAAGAACGTGACTGCGTACGGATCATTGGGTTGAAGAAGAACATTGTGAATGTGAGAATCTCATGATCAAGGAGACGTCGAGAGGGAAGCCGAAGCATCAAAACTCTTGCTTTTGATTGCTCCTCTGCTTCGTTAATTGTGTATTAAGAAAAGAAGAAAAAAAAAGGATTTTTGTTGCTTCAGAATTTTTCGCTCTTTTTTTTTTCTTTTTTTTTTTTTAATTTGGTTGTAATGTTATCTATATATACATTTTTGGATGACTTTTAGCAAATAAATCATGGAGTTGGAATGTATTTACGGATGAATGCCATTGGCATTAATTATTTAAATTTGAAAAATATTAATTAAAGATATTACCAACACGATTTCGAGAATCATAAATTCATATCTTCCTTAATTTTCTGAGTCATTAATGTGATAATCTTTAGGAAATATTTCTCTGTAAAAAAAAAAATCCACATTAATGAAGGCATTAAAATCGACACTAACAATTAAATTATTTCGATATTCAATTATTTTAAGATTCTTATATCTTATTTGATATTTTTTTTAATATCTCATTCTTTAATTACTGCGTTTAGAATTTATTGGTTGTTACCTATTTTTTGGTGAAATTTATTGGTTGTTACTTAATAAGTAATTATGGTGCGTTTATTTTAGTTAATATCTAATTTAAAGGATTTGTTTTCTTTTATTATTAATAAACGAATAACATGTATAGAAATAAAAGATTTTTCTTGCGACTCCATAATAAAAATATTAAACTCTTATTTTCTACATTTCTTACACATAATATCCTCTTATTCAATAACAAAAAATATATATTGCATATTTTTAAAAATATTTATAATATTTAAATTATATAAAAAGTTTGTAATATTAATATTATTTCAACTCTATACAAATTTAATATATATGTATATATATCTTATGGGAACCATTTAAAAGAAATTTTTAAATTGACTTGAATTATATAGCTTTTAAATAAAAGTATTATTAAAAAGAAAAATAACTAAATGATGTTTAATTTCACGGGACGGGTAATATGATGGGACGGGTTTGGGTTGATATTTATAAAAGATAGTATACCACGGGTGAAATCCTAAAATTAACAATCAAAATAATCTATCAAACAAATTACATTTTGATTTTTTTAAGAAAATATAGCCCCGCGGTGTACCGCGGGTTAAAATCTAGTGTTTATATACATATCATCATCATAGGACCATAGGCTACAAACCGAATCCGGTTTGTGTAATTTTAATGCGGAATCATAAAGAAATCGTCGGTTTGAATTGTTAAATCTCCTTGGATCTCAGAACGTAGCTGACACATCAACGCTAGATTACTGACACGTGGCCTTATCATTCTTTCTTCTCGAATCGTCTTCTGGTTCCTCGACTCCTTAAATTTCTGTGGAAAAAAAACACCAGCAGAGTAACTAAAACAATATAATGGGTTATGTGATCTACTTATCGTTTCCGGCGATTCTACTCCTTTTGATCGTAGCTATCACTTTTTATCTCATCGGAAGAAAAATCGGCCGGCGAGAAGGGATAGAAGCAGCGTCCCAGTTTCACTACGGACCGCCGTTGGCTAATTTCCCGGCACCTGCACCACCGCATAAAGCTATGGAGAAGCCACCGGAACCGGTTTAGTGTGTGTATGATGACGTAATACTTACGTAAACATCCTATGTAGTGTGTGTGTGTATTATTAAATAAGATGTCACTCTTATTGGGCCGATGTTGAAGCCTGATAAAATTTATCTTGATTGGGCCTAGGGTTTAAAAAAAAACACTTCTTCCCGTTTTGTATTTTAACGTAATCACACTTACTACCGTTTTACCTAATGCAACTTAGAAACTACGCGGCGTTTTGACGGAAGAAGAAAAATATTCGCTACTTCTTTTACAACTTTTGTCCCAACGCAGAAAAGTCCTCTCTTTCTCTCTCTCTCTCGAATAAAATTTTTTCATTTGCTGCGTCCTTCTGGTACTTGAAGCGATGACCATGGCAGCAAATCTCGCGCGACGGCTGATCGGAGGAAACCGATCGACTCAGATCCTTGGTGCTGTGAACTCTAGCTCAGGTGCGGCTACTTCCGTCGCTAGGGCTTTCTGCTCCTCCACCACTCCGATCACCGCAACTCTCTTCCCTGGTGATGGGATCGGTCCCGAGATCGCCGAATCTGTCAAAAAGGTCCCTCATCCTAATCTGTTTTCTGCGCAGAATTTCGAGTTCTGGAATCATAGTTACGAGAGAATTGTTTGATTGAATTTTGAATTGTGTACAAATTTTCGATTTGTGGGAATTCGGTATATTGATAGTTTTTGCGTTTTGTACTGATTCAGGTGTTTACAACAGCTGGTGTGCCAATTGAGTGGGAAGAACACTATGTTGGGACTGAGATAGATCCGAGAACACAGAGTTTCTTGACATGGGAAAGTCTCGAATCTGTGCGTAGAAACAAAGTTGGTTTGAAAGGTCCAATGGCTACTCCAATTGGGAAAGGTCACCGTTCTTTGAACCTGACTCTTAGGAAAGAGCTTAATCTATATGCCAATGTTAGACCTTGTTACAGTCTTCCTGGTTACAAAACTCGTTACGATGACGTTGATCTCATTACCATCAGAGAAAACACGGAAGGAGAATACAGTGGCCTTGAACATCAGGTTTAGTTTCTTGTGTCTATTGATCGAATGTTTCAGGTTAGTTCTTCTTAAAGTGTTTCTAATAATTGTTTTGTTTTCTCCTTACTCATAATAGGTTGTTAGAGGTGTGGTGGAAAGTCTTAAAATCATTACCCGTCAGGCGAGTTTGAGAGTTGCAGAATATGCGTTTCTCTATGCCAAGACTCATGGAAGAGAGAGAGTTTCTGCTATCCACAAAGCCAACATTATGCAGAAAACTGACGGTCTATTTCTCAAGGTCTGCCCGTTTTAGAACTCCAAATATTTTCTTATACGGAGGTCGGAGGATCAAAGCAATGATTGTTATTTTTGCTTAGTTTTTGTTACATTTTGTTTCTTTTTTCAGTGTTGTCGTGAGGTTGCTGAGAAGTATCCTGAGATAACTTACGAGGAGGTCGTTATTGACAACTGCTGTATGATGGTAAGCTATGACACCGAATCTAATTTTTTCGTTAATTAAGTTAGTGGTCGGGATTACCTTGTAGATTTTAGAAGTTTGGTTTCTTAGCAACTTGTATGTTAGTTCTGTTTTTCCACTGTTTTTACTTGCTGGACAAGTCCATTTATTGCGGAATATGCGACTGATAATCTTGAGATGCCTGCAGCTTGTGAAAAACCCAGCACTTTTTGATGTCTTGGTGATGCCAAACCTGTACGGTGACATTATTAGTGATCTGTGTGCCGGATTGGTTGGAGGACTAGGATTGACTCCAAGGTGAAAACACTGGTTACTTCATCTTGAGGAATAGTGTTGTTTAGTATGATTATGAGCTACATCATCTTAAGGCCTTATTATCTTTGACGCAGTTGTAATATCGGAGAAGATGGTGTAGCCCTTGCTGAAGCAGTTCACGGTTCTGCACCTGATATCGCTGGAAAGGTTGGTCCTTGAAACAATTTATCATTCCAGTTTCATCATATTCTCAGATATTATAAACTCAATTAAATGAACTCAATTCAACTCTTACCGTAAGACCAAGTATAATAAATAGAAGATTCCTCGTCTCCCTCTTTGCTGTTTTTTTTCTTGGTAGCATAGTCAGATGCTTAGTCTTATTATGGACCGAGTCATTTACGGGGTAATAAGTATCATTTATGCATCCAATGTTGAAAGATTAGTATGTGATTTATTGTTGTCCTTGTTTTTTCGATGATGTAGAACTTGGCGAACCCAACTGCCTTGCTTCTTAGTGGAGTGATGATGTTGCGTCACCTAAAGCTCAACGAACAAGCAGAACAAATCCACAGTGCAATCATCAACACCATAGCGGAGGGAAAATACAGAACCGCGGATCTTGGAGGTAGTTCGACCACCACGGAATTCACAAAGGCAATCTGTGATCATCTCTGAACATCGTAAAGTCCAATTCTTTATCGAATCTTCTTTTGGGAGCCTTTTTTATAGCCTCGAATTCTTCTTGTTTCTTGTTTTACGATTAGAATAAAAGAAAAATGAAAAAAACGGCTCTTCATGAGTTTTGAAGTTATTGTTTCTGCGTTAAAACGTCTTTTAAATTTCTTTGCCGTAAGGCAAGATTCATAACACTGGAAAAGTGATGTTCTTTCTGAATCCATCAGAAGAATTTTGTTTTGTTGCTTGAATTCTTTACTTTTTTTTTTTTTTTTTTTTGAACACGAATTCTTTACTTTCTTATAATTTCAATCAGTTTATCAACTTTATACATATATCCAAACTTTTTTTTTTTTTTACTTAAGTATTGACCAAAAAGCTATGAGACTATGATTATGATGAAATGACAAACTCATCAAATGAAGGAAACTCACTTCATATATTTTTGTCATTGGTCGTAAAATATATTTTTGTCATTGGTCGTAAAAGGATGAAATAAAAATGTTATATATTTGTAAACTTTTTCAATATAAATTAGTCGGTCCACAAAAAGAAGTCTACCCAAAAAAAAAAAAAAAGAGTACTAATTTATTAGTTTAAAAATTATTAAAAAAAAAAAAAACTAAAAGAGAATAATAATAATATGTCGTTGGTGCACCAACTCTCTCCCCTCGAGTTATGATTATAAACGCAAGACGCTTCTTCACTCAGCAGCACTAAGCTTGCCTCCAAACCAATCCCAGATCTGAATCTAAACCTCTCAAAATCTCTTCTCATCATCATGGCTTCTTCTTCTAACTACGATGGAATCCTTCTCGGAATGGGTAACCCACTCCTCGATATCTCTGCCGTCGTCGACGACGAATTTCTCACCAAGTAAAAACGCCTCAGATCCCTCTTTTTCTATTTGTTTCCAATTTCTTTTGCTGTATCATTGTCGCTATCCTCTTTATGGGATTTTGATATGAATCTAGGTTTTGTTGTTTGAATCTTCTCCAGTGGCGTGATTTGTGTGCGATTTTTTATGATCTTTTTTTGTAATCTGTGTGACAGATACGACATCAAGTTGAACAATGCGATTCTCGCTGAGGACAAACATTTGCCCATGTGAGTTTTGATTTATGCTCTGCTTTTGGTATATTATGGTTGAAATTAGGTCTTGTAATCAGGAATGATGATCTTTGTTTCATCTTTTATGGATTATGGCTACCTTTTTGACACTCTGGGTTCATATTCCTTGTTAGGCACACAGTTGATGGGTTAATATTCACTTGCAAATTGTTTTTGTTTTCTTAAGGTATGATGAGATGAGTAGCAAGTTCAATGTTGAATACATTGCCGGAGGTAATTCATCTGTTCTTTAGTTCGACGATCCTGTAACCCTTGACAAGATTGTGATATTCAATTCTTTCTCAGGTGCTACTCAGAACTCAATCAAAGTGGCTCAGGTAGATACTTTTACCTTTTTCTTGCACTCTTTTGGGGTTAAAAGTAACCACTGCTAAAATCAAGCTTTTTTTTTTTTACTTGCTGGTGACTGCAGTGGATGCTTCAAATTCCTGGGGCAACCAGTTACATGGGATCCATTGGAAAGGACAAATATGGAGAGGCCATGAAGAAGGATGCTACAGCAGCTGGTGTCAATGTAAGCTCAGTGTCCTGAATCTTCTCAGGTTTTCATATTTTTTGTCTTTTGACGATAGTATGAAGTTATTGTTGAAACTGAATTCATAATTTGTAATTAAAATGACAACATGCTTTTTTATCAGGTTCACTATTATGAAGATGAGTCGGCACCTACTGGAACTTGCGGTGTCTGTGTTGTTGGTGGAGAAAGGTCTCTTATTGCGAATCTTTCAGCTGCAAACTGCTACAAGGTTGATCACCTTAAGAAGCCTGAAAACTGGGCATTGGGTAAACTTCTTTTTCTCATCGTTGCATCCGTTTACAGTTCCGTATTATTTCTTCATGATCTGATATCTGTGATCGAATATGTTCTGGGTAGTTGAGAAGGCCAAGTTCTATTACATTGCTGGATTCTTCCTCACAGTATCGCCTGAATCCATTCAGTTGGTATCTGAGCATGCTGCTGCAAACAACAAGGTAATAAGACATGGTCCTCCATTTCATGAGACCCTGTTGCAGCAGAATCTTTTATTTGCTAACAAGTGGCTTTTGTATTAACAACCCAACTTATTCACTTATCCTTCAGGTGTTCACAATGAACCTTTCTGCTCCATTCATTTGTGAATTCTTCAAAGATGTGCAGGAGAAGTTCTTGCCGTAAGCTCTCCCTAATTTTTTTTATCCATTACAGATGTTATGATTACTTAAATGTACTGAAAAACACTCGACATTGCTCTTTCAGATACATGGACTTCGTTTTCGGCAATGAAACAGAAGCAAGAACCTTCTCCAGGGTTCACGGCTGGGAGGTAAGAAAATTTCTCTTGCACGACTAAATTTCAGCAGGCTGTTCTGTTTTGTATAGCAGAGATAATGATTAACCATTTATATGTTTATATATAGACTGAAGATGTCGAACAAATAGCCATCAAGATTTCACAGCTTCCCAAGGCCACGGGAACATACAAGAGGACCACTGTGATAACACAGGGCGCAGATCCAGTGGTTGTTGCTGAAGATGGAAAGGTGAAGAAATATCCAGTCATCCCTCTCCCAAAAGAGAAGCTGGTTGACACCAACGGTGCAGGTACTAATTTTGATAATCTAAAGACCGGGTTGTAACCAAATCTACATTCAACTGTAGGCTTATTTTACTAGATAGAAACTGACATGATCATAGAATAAGCTGATCCTTTAGTATTTCAAACGAACTTTCTCCTCAAAACTGATACAAAACATATTCCTCTCTGTGTCATAGACAGAACCAATACCGATATATTAACCCATACTATTTTTGTTGATCTCTCTTACAGGTGATGCATTTGTGGGAGGATTCATGTCACAGTTGGTGAAAGAGAAATCGATTGAGGAATGCGTGAAAGCTGGATGCTATGCGTCGAACGTGGTGATCCAAAGATCTGGCTGCACTTACCCTGAGAAGCCCGACTTTAACTAAACTATTGGGTCATCCTCAGTTTTGTGATATCTTCCAAATAAAACAACCTTCGATTCAACAAACTCCCACGATTATTGCTTGAGTGTACTTTTTACCATTTTATTACCATAATTATTTGATAATTTGATATTACCACCATAGGTTTAGACAAGTCATGTTAAATCAATGACGGCTTCGATGAGAAGATTATATCTACTATCAGCTAATAATATCTAACAATGGCTCATTTCACAACACTTCAAATGGATCCTCTCCCATTATCAAAAACCCTAAACGTTAGAACTTCGAAGTACGGAGAACCCTCTTCGTGATCAAAGACTCATCAAGAATAACGAGGAGAAGCACAACGGATGACCTCAAGGAAGAGACTTTCTTCACAGGGAATACAAAGCTTGGAATCTCCGGAAGTGAAATCGTCATAAGCTTCATCTTTTGATTGATCAAGCAAAGCCCTGAAGAGGGGATCGTGAAGCAACGTGATCTTTATAACGAACCTCTTGTAACTTTCCTCTTCTTTACCAACGTACACCACTAGGTGCCCCTTTGGTACGTCATGTGGTATATGATATTGATCATTAGTGGCGACGTGGTGTTTGGCAACTCTGCTTGACATTTGCTTCCATGCCTTTGTGATCAGCTTGCTCTTCTTCATCATGTTTATGAGAGAGAATGAGAAAGAGAGAGAGACGTTTTTGGGGTTTAGTGTGAGATAAAATGTAGAGAATTAGTATTGATGTCGTACGTGTGTATTTATACACAAAGTCACAAACATAGGTCCACTGTATATCTATTTAATGTATGTATACTATAATATGGATGAATAGGTATGGGTAATGATTTTTTTGGACCATGTCGTCTTTACAATAATACATGATCTAACATTAGTTAATATGAAAAACTATACATTCCATTCAATATATACATATATTATTACCAAGAAAATATATTAATGATAAATAGGGAACGTCATTATCAATTTGTTTTGAAAATAGGATATGTCTTTATTAATTCATCATATGAACATTTACTTAGAAATGAAAAGAATAATAAATGTATAATGTTTTTGGGGGTCGACTACGGCCAAGCTGTACTAACGACATACGAAATCGTACGAATATGCATCTCCCCTAGCTACCCCAATGGGAGCTTTCGCTTTAATCATTGATTCATTTTGTTTCTTTTATCGGCATGGCATGCACATTGGCACTCAACTATTGTGCATTTAGAGGGGAAAACGGTCTATTTCCCCACGAGAAGTATCCCATCATAACAGATAGAGCCCAAACTTTAATCCCGGTCTATATGCCCTTAAAAACAATGTTTTATGTCTATTTCTCCCCGAAACGTAAGTTCAGTAGCTAAATCTCACCGAATTAATACTTCGAGATCTATTAACCCACGTATCTGGGTTTCGTCGGTTTAGTGTACATCAATTCAGCCTTAACCATTTTAAAACCAACTTTAACCAAAACTAAACCGAAATTATCAAAAATTAACCCAAACCCGGCCGACCCATTAACGACCCGATCGAACTTTTTCTTCTTCTTCGCTTCAAAATATTTAGGGTTTCGATACCATCAATTTGACATCGCTAGGATTCTCTTCGTTTAAAAACAATAACAAAAGACTAACTTTTGGTTGATGAAATCAATGGGTCTTTGATATTGATAAGCTTTGATTAGTCTCTCTTCTTCGCCATGAAGATTCTGAGATTGATGAGATTAACCAAATCGATTTGGGATGCAAATTTGAGATTAACCAAATCGATCTCTTCTTCAAACTCTGTTTTTTATGGATTCAATGTGGTGAAGGTGAATACACTTAACATGGATGGGAAGAAGAAGAGTAAAGTGATAAGAGTTAGCTTTGTTGAGGAAGAAGATGACAAGAAGTATCATCATTGGCTTGATCGCAAGGAGAAGTGGGAAATCGCGGTTATGGTAAAGGTAAAGATCGTGGTGGTGGTGAAAGAGCTAATTCTTCGACGAGGACTGGTTTTGCGGCGAAGGCGGCGGGAATGACGAAGCTTTCATGGAGCATAATTTCTCTGTTTTTGAATGTCAATTGAACAGTAATGTGTCAATATAATAGACTGCTTTTGAAGTGCCTAAGCTTTAGTGGACTTAATTTTATACATGGCTTGCTTGGAATCTCCATGTTTATGAAGAGATTAAGACATATACATACAATGGATTGGATTTTCAGAGATTATTGATTAACAGAGTTATTTGTATATGTCTAAGCTTTGATTAGTGTTTGTGTTTGACATTTATACAATTTCCTATTTAATATGTGATTTCTCTCTTCACCTCTTTTGTTTCTTATAATCGAGACGATCGTGTTCTAGGATTTTGGCTAGTAAAAATCTTAATCATAAGTGGTTTAATAACAAGAAGAAAAGTGAATTCCAATTTTGACAATAAAAAAACCACCCAGATTTTGAAATCGGGTGAAAAAGAGAAAATTTTGACAATAACAAAACCCAGATTTTGAAATCGGGTGAAGAAAAGAAGAAGAGAGGAAAGAAGAAGAAGGGTATTGGGTTTGTGTTTTAATCGAGTCAAAATTAGGTTTTCTTTGGTTATAAACGGTTAAGTAAACAATAACCGACGAAACCCAGACATGTGTCTTAATAGATCTAGAAGTATTAATTCGGAGAGATTTAGCTATTGAACTTACGTTTCGGGGAGAAATAGACATAAAACATTGTTGTCAAGGACTTATAGATCGGGGTTAAAGTTTGGGCTCTATCTATTATGATGCGATACTTCTCGTGGGGAAATACACCGTTTTTCCGCATTTAGAGATAGCATACATGTGTGTGTGTGCGCGCCTGTATATACAAAGACCGTAAAAGATATATCTCTCTCAATTTAATTATGATACAATAACAGTGGTAATCGGTAGTGCATGGTCGAATCACTAAGGCTATCGTTCTGTCTTTTCTTCTGTT